GAGACTCTATTGTCAAAAATGGAATATAATATTCATAGCTATGTTTTCATTAGTGTATAATCACCTGAATATAGGAATCGTTGTGTTTTTGTTACCTTAGAATAAGCCGTTTTCATCTCCAGACGGTGCAGGTCCTCTTCTACAGAATACACCACGTTGAACCGCCATGTTTCATAGATAGGGCCCTCTACATGTTTGGAAGGGGAGGGTGAAGTGAGGGCGTTGCAGTCAGCAACTACACCACTAGATGCCACTAAATCCTACACACTGCTTCTTTAAATAGGTTTCCCAAAATGTCAAACTATTCCTTAAAAAGAACAAATAAACATCATTATCTGGGTTAAGTTAACACTTTGTTAGCTTGTTTGTACAGTAAGTACTGGTAATTCTCAGATTTACAACATGATTTGAAATGTACCATAAGTCGAGGCAGGGGGAATCTTTTGACTGATGTAATATTTAAAAAAAACATTTACACTTTCAAGGCCTTGACTGTCCCTTTACTCACTAACAAACTCTCCCGGTGTTCCTGCCTTGGGATGCTCTTGCTCCCACCCTTCCGCCCCTCTAGGTGCTCCAACTCTTTGCCCCGCAAGACTCCCCCAAGCCCCAGGATCTTAGTAGAACACGTGGCCCCTGAGGAAGACAGGTATACCGGGCCTGCCCCCTCCTGCTATCCTCACCTCTTAAAACACCACGCTACGGCTCTGCTTGCCCTGCTTGTACCTTCAAAGCCTCTCCTGTAGAGCTGTAGATGATAGCGTTGCACAGATCTTGTGATCAGCACTGTTACTTTCCCTTTCCCTGTAAATATTTGTCGTCTAAGACTGTGTAATCCCTCTTTTATTCTGCTGCACCTGCTCTTTCTGCTGAGCGCTTGTTTGAATCTCCTCACTTCTCTGGCTTGAAAGCGCTTTCTCTTCTGTAACAATGTTGCTGGTGGGGAAAAAAAGTTCACGGGATGTGCAATTCTCAGCTATGTTGCTTTTACAAATCACAAAAACCAAAGTCTCAGTTTTGAGCCTTTTACAGTATATCCAACACATCAGTCAGTATTCAGGTTTGCCATTCTGTGGGTCATCATTCTCCATATCGTGTTTGTTTTTCTTCCTCTCTCCCTCTCTCTCTCTCTCTCTCTCTCTCTCTCGCACGCTCTTTCTCTGTGGTTGGTGTTTGCTGAAAACAGGCAGTGTAGCAATTCATCAAGTCCAAACTGTCAAAGGGGCAGCAAAAAAAGCCTGGAGGGGGACAGGTAAGATCATTCATTCAGTCATTCATTCATTCATTCATTCACTCACTTCCCTTATTTATTCTCCTCTCATTACTGTTATTTCTTCTCTTCTCCTCGAGAGGGAAGATACCGTCTGTGACTGGTTGTCAAAGCTGCAATGTTGATTTTTCTTTTAAGTCGCAGCTCACGCAGTACGTAGCCTTGAATGCTAGCTGACAATCCAAAAAACCCTAACCCTCGTCACACCATGCAGAAACACATTAGCTGATTTGATTTTTACTCTTAAGTTTTTTTGGAGTTTTTTTCCATATTATTGGAAGTTTGCTGACACTGTGTGGGTTTCTAGGTGCTTAAATGTTGTGATGTCTGGTTTATATGATTGGAAATAAACTACATTCACTTCAAAAACTCTAAATATAAAGCTGCAGCTTGCAGGTTAGCTTAGCATGATCACTAGAGACAGCTAGACCGCTTTTTCATCATCATCACACACTTAGGCTATTCTATGTGATCTCCTTTAGGTAACTAATGTAATATTTGTTCACTTCCATTCGCTGAGCCTCCGTTGAAACTGTTCGGAGACCCCCTGGGGATGCCTGCCTCCCACTTTGAAAAACTCCTGACCTACAGTATACCATAGCATAGTACTATTTTACTTCAGAAAATATAACTACTGTATTTATCACAGCTTAGCCAATGCAGCCAGTGCAGAAAATTAAGAAAATATTTCCTTGTATATTGATCTAGATTGCACCAGCCGTATTTGAGTAATGATTATTTAGCGCCCGGTGTACACTGCTTACGCACTATTTTCATTATGGACCAGCATTTCACACAGAGCCCCGCCATGAGTTACATATGTTTTTTTTTGTTTTGATTTGATTTAATTTTTCTGCATTTATAAGGCTTTGTATTTTCATTTCTTTTTATTTGCTGATGGCAGTCGTATCCAGCCCACCTCTATCCTGAGGGGCAGTAGGGGGAGAGGGGGCCCGTTGAGGCCCTTTGGCCAGACAACCCTGGCTGGGTCCTGCCCAAACTCGCCACGGCTAGACAGGTGCATGCTACTACCAGCACTATGCCTCTACTCCCCTGTGTGCTGACTTCCTCTCTGTTTCACTGAGTGTAGTAATACTGTATGCACGTGTGCCACATGTAAATGTTATGTCACAAGAAGTCATAATAACGTTATAGCTCAATCCCAAGAGTTTAGATATCCATGTTAGCTGGCACAGGCATCTAAATATCTTATACTGTTCAATAGTGGTTTATGTACTTTGTGTAAATTGGGCTACCATCAGGTAAGAAGCTGTGGATAGTAAAGTTTACTGTATAAATGTACCATCTCAACATAATACAATGTCTGGGATATATAGAAATACTGAGATACTGCGCATACTGTCTGTATACACACTCAGTGCCACTTCCTTTACGTCTCCTCTGATCCATTCCCCTCCTAACGTGTTTCAGTATTGGGCTTCACTTTAATTAGTGATGAATACCGTAAAATTGTGTCTTTATCTCTCAGAGCCCACCCTCATGGCAGCCCCTCTCCAACGGGGACTCCCTCATCAGGTCGCAGGGGCAGGCAGCTGCCTCAGCTCCCTGCAAAAAGCAGCAGCATTGAGCAAGGTATGTTGAAGGCCAGGATGTGGGTTTGGTTTCAGAAGTTGGGGGAGGCAAGTCTTGGGTGATGGGTCACATTGACAAATAGTAATTATATCGCTGTGTCACAGAAACGTTACATTTAGTTTTCCTGGTAGAGAGCTGAGACTTTAAAAAAAAAAGCGCAAACTAACAATTGAAGTGATCTAGAAGAGTGTATCAATTCAGTGTATCTACTATTAGATGATTCTTTACTGCCTCATAAACATACAGATCACTCTATCCCCAAACCTTTCTCAGCAGTCCTGGGTCAAACAACATTTTAAAATATTATATATTGTTTGTTTTAGCTTACTTTGCTGCCAGATGGGTGGGGTTTAATGTACAGAGAATCATAATGTACAACCAATTGCAGGCGTAGTTGTCAGTTTAACATCCCTATATGATTTTTCTTTACAATTTGGCAAATAATTTTTCCCAGGTTGTGAGGTTTCTGTCCGACCCCTCTAGAATCCATCAGGAGGGCACTTGATTTGCTATCAGTGCACATCATGTGCCATCTAGTGTCAAAAACCAGATCCTGCATCCCCAGACTACTCCCTGTAATCCCTTACTGAGAACATGCCAATGTTTCTGGTTTCTTTTTCCTGGTTTTCCTGGTATTTGTTCTTTCTTTGTCCATATTCTTTATATCTTACTTTTTCTTCATCTCTTATGTCTCAGCCCTCGCAGTAGAGGAGCGAGCCCGACAGCTGCAGGTGAAAGTACATTCCTGCCGGTCTTCATCCTCCCACGACCCTGAGACGGACCTCAAGACCAAACGGGAGGTCAGCATCCGTGTTTTCCAGTCATTCTTCAGATCCCTTCATCCACCTCCTAAATTATACATATATGTCTATTTTCCAACTATCTTCATCTCTGTCTGCAGATGTATGCAGAACAGAGGCGTAGCAGTGACAACATGTCGGCAAGATCGTCCGACAGCGATATGAGCGATGTGTCGGCCCTCTCCCGTGCCAGCAGTGCCTCCCGCCTCAGTAGCACCAGCTACATGTCTATCCAATCAGAAAGACCCGGGGGACGACTCAGGTCAGTCCTCCCTGGCCATTGGTCATATGTTTATATCTTGGCTGTTGTGGATTTCAGTCAGTTCACTCTTTCTGAAATAAGCCTCAGTGTTAGATTTTGTGTTGCATGCATGCTAATCACTGTGTGCCTTTTCTGTTTTATTTCTGCATGCCAACTGCTGCATGTTTCTGTCCTTCTGCATGCTCTATCTCATCTATCCTCGCGCACACACAAACAAACATACCGGTACACACAATGAACGGTGGATATCCAAACAAAATGATCTCAGATCCAAGTCGTTAGAGGAGGAGAAGAAGGACAGGAGGATCTCGTGGGGAGTGAATGGAGAGGAGGATAGGAGGAGGTCGGCGGGAAAGAGACGCTTCTCTGAGGAGTTGAAGCGCAGGAGACACACTGTAACTGGAGACACAAGGGAGTCCAGGTAAAGATCAATAGATCCCAAATGGTGAATTCACTGATGATGGCAGACGATCCATCTTCGTGCCGTACAACCAGGTCTGGATCCCCAAGATAGAGTCCCTGAATCCCCATTCATTTAAGACAACAGTGCACTAGGGAAACTTTTTAATGGTTGCAATTATAGACAATTATTGATCTCTGTAGGGAAGTTCTTTTCTTTTTGCTTGCAACTTCCAAAGGGAGGTCAGCTCCAACTTGTAGTGATACAGCATGAGGGATGGATACTCACTAAAACAGGGTTAATCTTCCAGCTGAAGGATGTCATCCTTGCTTATTTTTGAGGCAGTTAGCTTTGTCGCCTGGGGATTTTTGGTTAAATGGAATGTACAGTACATTTTGAACCCAGTGTCTCAGTCAGTGCTTTTTCCCAAACCCTAGTCCAGTATCCAATGTGTACAGTGTGATCCACCAGTGCACATCCATTGAGAATGGACTTTACAGTGAAGGAAGAGACATCTTGTGTCCAGCAGGAAAACAAAATTTGCATATTTATAAATTGTGGAATTTTTAATGAGGTTGAAGGAGTAGATGACTAAGATTTAAATTTGGAAAAGTAGCCTTTTTTTCATATCAGAAACACATTATTCTTACAAGCAGATTATTCGTAGATGTGTTAATACATGTCTGGATAGGATCTTTAACGAGCTGAAATTAAATTATAACTGAGTAACAATACTCTTATTTTTGTATTACTCATTACTATGTGCATAAATAATGTTCAGCTTAATCTTTTTGTTAATGCAGCATAAAATGACAATTTCATTTTGCAAACCTGAAGACATCCCACCTTTACATTTGTCAAGGAATATATAAACAAATGTGAAATGTAAAAGGACACACCTCCAAAATGTTGCTAAGAAAAAGATAAAACTATATAATTCAAAATTAAATAACACCTAAACTAAAAAGTTCTCCAGTCCAACTGAGCTGAAATAAATAGATCATTTTCGTTGTCGTCATGTGACCACACACTCCCACACAAACGCACACACACAAATCCCTGGCTGACCAGTTGCAGTGTGCTGACATGGACAAATGACCCTATCCCAGTGGTCCTCAGTGGGCCAGGTGGTGATGTAGTGCAGCCTATTAGCTGGCTAATGTATTGAGGTCTGGGAGGAGGAGAGAGGGCCCCGTTCTTTATGGCCTTACCACAGATCAATCCAAACAGAGCGTTATAAAAGCACAGCCCCACGGCCTTTGACACACTTTCTAGAGTCGGGGGTGAGAGAGAGAAAATTGATTTTCTTATTTATTGAGCATTTCCCAGTCTTAAAAAACAAGCACTATAATGAACATATGGCCAAAAGTATATGGACACGCAAACATATCATAAATCTTATAAATTTTTATACCCATGTGCAATGTTGATGTTGATACCTGGCTGCAGGGAATGGCTCCCATTCAGCCAAAAGAGCATTATCGAGGTCAGCCACTGAGGTTGGGCGTTGGGACCAGGCTGGTTCCACTTGATTCTTAAAGGTGTTGGATGGGGTTGAGGTCAGGACTCTGTGCAGGCCAGTCAGGTTCTGCCACAGCAAACTGGCTTTGTACACAGGGACATTATCATGCTGAAACAGGAAGTGGCCTTCTCCAACCACAAAGTTGGAAGCAGACAGTTGTTTAAACATTTTTGTTTTTTGTTGTAGCCTTAAGATTTCCCTTTAATTGGAACTAAAGGTCTGGCCCAAACCATAAAAAACAGCCCAGACCAAAAGTACACGGATAGGTGTGTCCACATACTTCTGGTCAGATAGTGTACACTTGGGCTGAAGATTACAGAGAGAGACCAAATATAAAAGACAAAAAGCTGTACAGATATATATATAAACAGAATCAGAAAGTGATCAACTAAAGAAAAGCATGTGAGGTAATCTCTATCCTTCACAATCTTTACAAAAGAGGTGTTATAGATATATTGGTAAAATAAAGTCCATACTAAATAAACAGCGCTCCTCTGGCTGTGCAGAGGCTTATATCAGTTCTTAGGCAGAGGCGAGCATGTGTCTGTGTTCTAGGGCTGTGATCAGACAAGCAGTAAAAACACAAGTCTGGATTCAAAAAAGCAGACTATGGAGTCAGCGACCATTCATAAAAACTGGTCAGTAGTCTATTTTAGAAAACCTGTAATGTAGCTTACCTATAACTCAGCTAAGTGGTCAGTTTTTAGAGAGACGGGGGCGCCATGAATTAGTAATCTAGTGATGAACAAGGACGGCTGGCCTCAGGTCAGTTTTCACTCAGAGTGGTCTCTGTATTCAGTGGATACTCTCACATCTGCTGCAGGCCAGTGTGATGATAGGTTGTGGAAGTGACTGAGTACATACAGAGGAAAGGAGACAGAGGTTTCCTGAGGTTGCATTGACACATTGAACCCTCAGCTGTTTCCCCTTTCTCGATATTCCTATATGTTTGATAAACTGCTCCTCATCAATTTCAAATAATTAATTGGATGCTGATTATGTTTGCTCCTCCACTTAATCCTCAGATTTCTTGCCCGTCATTGCATTTGTTCGCATATCAGTATCACTTGTTGTTGGATGAAAATGCTGTATTTCACCTTTCAGAATAAAACCATATCCTGCTGATATTTATACATATTTTCAATGGCAGTAGTAGTTACAGCAACCCACACAAATAACAAGATTTTCAGCCAAAAATAACTAATATTTTGTATATGTTACAAATATATCACACACTGTACATAAATGCATATAAATTAGCATTTCGCGCAACATTATGTGTCCTTTTTGTTAAATGTGGCCCTTGTTTTCTGTGCTGTGACTGTGGATGTTTGTGCGATCCTCTCTGCATGTCTCAGATCCCTACTTGCATGCATCCTGTGCTGTGACTGCCAGGACCCCCTCCATTCTCCAGACCTGGGTCCTCCCCTCCCATCCACTCCTTCTGCTGCACGCCCTTCCCTAATCCCCCTACAGGGAGCGGTGGAGAGGCCTCAAACCACCCTCCCCCTCCCCAGTCGTTCCCTGGCTCCCCTGGGCCACTGGACTGTGGCTGTCCGTGGCCCATCGGGAGTGGAGGCTGTGGGCGATAGAGGAAGCGTAGCTGGGCTCTCGAGCAGCACTTTGACCCCCTCTGAGGGGATGGACATGCGACGGCTCCTCCGAACCCCTAGGAGGCAGCATCGAGTGCTGGGCATCTTCTGCCCACGTGTAGTGGCTGGTTTGAGAAGAATGAACTTTAATGCATGATGTGAATGTCAGCTTTGGACTGCTATAATTTTATTTTCTCTTATTTGATCCCATTTTAACCAAATTCTTGAGATCTTAACATCAAACACTAAGTTTCAATTTTAGATATGAGTATGTGTCACTTGTCTGTCATCATCATTTCCTTTATTTGGGATCCCAGATGTTTACTCATCTGTTATTTGAGTCACATGCTGTTTGATTAAACATCACTCCTCCACCACAGTCAGTTTGAAATGTCATTATCCACCACTTCTTGTTCTCCATGCTGTGTCTGTGTTCTTCTAAAATAAAGGTACAGTATAGAGGGAGTTACAGAGACCTTAGTAACATCCCCGCTCCATCACACCTGTGTCATACGGTGATTTCTCTCCCCAGTCGGCAGTTACGATCAGTGGGCCGCAGCATGCTGAAGAGCTCCAGTGTGAGCGGAGAGATCTACACCCAGGAGCGCACAGACGGCAGCCAATCAGACACAGCGCTGGGCACGGTGGGCGGCGGCAGCAAGAAGAGGCGCTCCAGCCTCAGTGCGCGGGTGGTAGCCATCGTTGGCAATCGTCGCAGCCGCAGCACTTCACAGATCAGTGGCCCCGGTGAGTTGCCATGGCAACCCTAAAATGTTCAGCAGAGACTGTAGTCTATATCCCACTGGCGATGTGTGATGAGAATTGCCTCCCAAAAATATGATGGATACTAAATATTATTTCATCTATTGGATTGTAAAGCAAATGTCCCTGATACTGTGCTGGTGTCAGAGCTGCAGGGGCTGCATTAGTCTCAGTGACAATTTTAAAAATAATAGGGTCATGTCACACATGCTACATCCATTTACAGCAGGGGTTTCAGAATACTACCCGTGAGCCAGATTCAACCAAAGACATGTCTATAAGGCCCCTTCTTCACTTATTAAGAGTTATTAACACTGATATCACAGGTAGATAGAAACAAACCACCTGCTTAGCGATGGAGTAGACCTCATCAATTCTAGAGTTGCTGTTGGGACAGTTGAGTTGTTTTGGGTGGAGCGGAGGAGAGACACAACAATACTGTCATTTGACACTATAGAAAGTAAAGGTGTGTAGGTGTGGAGTGATGGGTGTTGATTTACACCTTTGTTGACCCAGCTTCAGCTCTCAGTGTAGTCTTATAGAGTTATATTTTGTAAAATGCCCTAACCTTCACCAAACCTAATCATAGACACATTTAAATAGTGCTTTGTCACCTACCTAAACCTGTGTTTTTAGTGCTTAAGACCCATAACAGGGACTAAAAATATGGTTATTTCAGCCTTTTTGTTCGGCTGTCTGTTTTTTAATACGTCTCTTGTGAGTCCCCCAACTTTATGGAAATGTCACACATGGAGAATAATACATTTGGGCATTTTCAGTGTGGCAACTAAAGCAGACATTGTACATCCATATTTAAAGGTGTTGGAGCAAAAACTCATAACACAGTAACTGGACAATGGTGAGGTTGATTCAGGTTGATAGTTTGATAGGCATGTTGCAAACTCTCACTATAACACAGAGCCTCCACGGAGCTTTACATGCCTTTAGTTTTCAGAATAGCGCACAACATGTAATCTGTGTCTCTGTACTTATTTCACAGACTGATGAGACTGTTTCACATAGAGACAAAGATTTGTCCTGAGGAACAGACTGTACAGAAGAACCACAAATTGCAAGTGTTTGTCTTTCATTGTTCCATGAAAGACAAACCTCTGCTGCCCCAGTGCTCTTTACAAAGACAAACAAATATATTTCGGAGAGTTTCAGAACATCGTGGGCAGCTGAGAGCCGCTTGTAGCTCTGCTCCCAGTCACACAACACAGTCTGGTCCAGCATGCACTTTTAACACAGGGGTGGGGTAAGACTCATGATGAAAGCCAAACTCTGTACTCCCCCTCTTTGTAGTGGACATAAAAGGCTATTAGAGAACACTGGGCCTAAGGGGGTCTCTCGCCCCCTCTCCCTGATGTGGAGAGGAGAGAGAGAAGGTAGAGTTAGCGCAGAGATCAACCTTAATTTGAAAAATCTTTCCTGTTCATGATGGGTGAGAATAAAGGCAGGTAAGACTTTTAGTTTTTACATTGTAGGATTTTAGCATGATTGCAAGATAATAATTACTTAACATTATATGGTAGGTTATATATTGCTCAGGCTGGGTAAATGCTGTTGACCACCCCACCTGCTAGATGTAAGAATATATCTAATGCTCAGCAGCAAGGGATGATAATAGGCTCAGAAATGCAGTTACATATTTCTCTTTGCACCGTGCCAATATTATGAGTCAGAAGGTGGACGCACCTCAGTCCAAGATGCCACACAGTGTTGTTTGGTTTGTTTTTCTGCCCAACAATTTCCTGTTTACTACTGATTACCAGATTCAGTAGGGCATGGGTTGGACTCTGGCCGTGCTTCAGACGGACACATCACAGAGCCCTTAACTGGATATGATCTGGATCTTGAGATTTTCTACTTTTTCTTTCCACTGGTGAATTGTTTCTTATGAAAAAGGCTTTACCCCATTGATAAATGTGCTCCGGAAGTTAGTCCATTCATCTGTAATGTCCTATTGTTTCCTAACCACAATGTCGGTTAAAGGGAGTCTTTTCTTAATCCTGATACATTGTGATTTCTCTTGATCTAAAAGAAACATTTTGTGAAAATGTTAAGTTCAGATAAAGTTCAGTAGATAAGTTTCTGCTCAGCCTGTGGAAACAGTTGTATAATATCTTCTGTGGCTCTAGAGGAGCTTTACAAAGTCTGAAAAAATAACCCTGATGATGTGATTGGGGTTATTTCAGCTTGGAATTGGAGGCTATGAATCCATAACCAAAAGCCTGAGAGACAAAAGATATAACAAAAGATGCTTTTTAGTTGCACCATGGGAAATGTAGATCAACAGTGTCAATGTTTGAATATTTGGGGGTACACACACCCTCCCAATTTTCAAATATGCTCAAAATACTTTAAATTAAAATACTTATATTATAAATACTGCTTGTCAGCTTGACCTATACTAGTGACTAGGAGTCAGAGTATCTTATTCCCTAACCACAACAAAGGTTAAAGGAAACCGTTCTCTTAATCCTTTGTGATTTTCTGTTCTGCATTAAGTAAAACACTTTGTAGGGCATCGGTTTGAAGGAAAAGTTCAAAATTTTTGGAAATACGCTCATTTCCATTCTTGCAGAGATTAGATTGGCACCACTCTCATGTCAGTACGGTGAATATGAAGCTGCTGCCAGCAGCCGGTTAACTTAGCTTAGCACAAAGACTGGAAAAAGGTGGAAACATCTAGCCTGACTTCTAGGGCTTTAAAGGTTTGTGTGTTTGTGACGAACTTTTAATACACCATTAGCAACATGTGCTGAGGTTAGCACGACAAGCTGATTGCTGTGCGAGTCAGTCACACTTTGGCAAGCAAAAAAATGCTCAGCCCAGAGCTGGAAGACCTACCTGCCTCCTTTAAATCAATTTGGCTACAACAGCAAAGGAGAAAGAGTTGTGGATGGTGTGTTTCATTTTCTCATAATATTGAATTTTCAGTTCCATAGTATAAGAGCATACAGACTTGCGGGTGGTATTCTTCTTCTTATCCAACTTTACTTTATGTTTGCCTTTCTGCTTATAATGCTTATTGAGGTAAGATTCCTTTTACAAGCCTCTAGGGGTTTTTAATCTCACCTGCTTCTTTCTCTTGTTTGTGGTTCTGATGTTGTGTTTTTATTGTGCAAATAAATCAATCAAAATAAATCAAACTGTTGGCAAGACAGCAAATAAGCATAATTCCCAAAATGTTGAACTGTTCCTTTAAGAAGTCAGTAAGGAAGAGCTTCTGTTGAGCTTCACCTCTACTCAGTGGACAATAAACATGTTTTCTCTTTGAATGAAAAATCTGACTGAATGAAGAGCATCTCTGACTGCAATATTATGATGTTTCCTGTCTCTCCTCTTCCTTCATCCAGAGGGGAAGAGTAAGAAGGAGAAGGGGGCACCCATCCAACGGAGCACAGAGACCGGCATGGCAGTAGAGCTGACCAGGAACATGAGCCGACAGCCCAGCAGAGAGTCCAACAATGGCAGCATGAACAGCTACAACTCTGAGGGAAAGTCAGTAAACCACACACTTTCAGTTCTCATCACTTTCTACCAACCATCTGCACACTCTCTACATCTTCCTCATTTATAATTTTCTTCCTCTCTTCAAGGGAAATGGCAAATGATGAGTGTAATATAATGACCACACTGTAAAAAACTCAGCTCAGCGAGGTGATGATAAAACACAAACTCTGACTGAATCAAATTAAGGCCTGTGTTTTCTGTGATGGATTATTTCGCTTGGGCAATTCTGGCTATGTTTTTCGTGCTGTAAATAATGACTGGCAGCAAATGGACTCTCCTGAAGGCGGCGAGACAACAACTGCTATTATCCTTTAAAGAATCTCTTCTGTCTTTACGTTAATTTTGGTGGGTGATGTTTGTCATAATTAATTCATGCTTGTGTGTTTTTCTTTGTTAGTCTGAAGTTCTCTGGAGTGAATCTGGGTGCCAGCAGTCAGTTCAGTGACTTCCTGGATGGCCTGGGACCAGCTCAGTTAGTGGGAAGGCAAACGCTGGCTACCCCTGCCATAGGTAAGATACTGACTATCATAATATAGTATAACATAATATATTATAACTAGTGCTGTCAAACGATTAAAATATTTAATCGCGATTAATCGCATTAATGTCATAGTTAACTCGCAATTAATCGCACATTTTTATCTATTCTAAATGTCCCTTGATTTCTTTTTGTCCCATTATTTTTTCGCCATTAAGCTCCTTTCAACAATGAAAAGTGGAAATCGTGGCCTGCTTGGCAAATGTATTTATTGAAAATAACTGTATAGTATTATCTGTAGTCTTCAATTTTAATGTCACCACCTAACATTCTCAACCTTGGAGCAAATAATCTCTCCACCCCACCAATTAATACTGTCCATTAAACTAAAAGGGTGAAAATACTTGCGTCAGCCACAAACAGCCCCTTTCTAAGGAGCCAAAACAGGGCCGAATACAAAATTGGCCCTGGCTTTGACGAGGGGGCGGAGAATTTGCATCAGCTGTGTGCTTGGCCATGCCAAGGTGGTAGTGGGAGTTTTGGGACGTTGCGATGATTCAGCTCAGTTCTATCAACGACAAAACACACAAAACCCTTTGGTCTTGCCAAAGGAACCAGTTGGTAACTTTTTTAAAATGTAAAAACACTTTCCATTCAGAATATATATTGCAGTGCATTTCGGCGTCTCCGCGTGTTCGCGTATCTAACCTCACACATAGTCGTAACGTCTACGAAACTCTGTAACCATGTGGAAGCGACAGTGCCTGTTGATTCTTTTCCGGTCTAGCCTAGAATCCGGTGTGGTGTTGAGTTTTTTCAACGTAGTGAGTCAGTGTTTTATTGCACCAGCATGTGAGAAAAAACTACAAAGTGTGCTAGGCCACGTACACAACACTTATTGCGTTAATCGCACGATAAAAAAATTTACACCGTTAAAATGGGTTTGCGTTAACCCTGTTAATAACGCGTTTAACTGACAGCACTAATTATAACATAGTAAATTGGCAAGTGACCATGGTATAAGCAGGATAATACCCTTTGAGGTGTCCATTATCAGGAAATAATGGACTTCGAGGAGGCACTAATTCCCAATAATGGACACGGGCATTATCCCTTACATATAGTGTAGTACGATATAATGCAGAATATAAGAGATAATATAGTATAATATAAAACAGATGATAAGATATTAAATATACAGTATTCACTTATCAGTTGTTTTCACATAATTAACCCTTTGTACCTGATGAATTGCTGAGCATAACATGTCATGCTCATTAGTGCTAATAAAAGGTCTCATGTCATATATTTTATGAGTGTACAGTCATTGCTACAAACCCTTGTGCTTTATTTTTTCTGACTGCATGTTCATCTTGCTCTAGCTCTGTAGGACTCTCCGTCATTGATCTCTTCCTGGTGTGTCATCTTTTCACTTTTCCGCGTTTCCCAGGTGACATCCAGATTGGTATGATGGAGAAAAAGGGTCAGCTGGAGGTGGAGGTCATCAGAGCTCGGGGACTCGTACAAAAGCCAGGATCCAAATCCCTCCCTGGTGAGAACCTGACTACTTCCTCCCTCCCTCCCGCTCAAGACATCACTCATACACTCCTCACATTAGGATATGAAATACACTCTGCATGCAGAGAAATCCAGTAGATACACCCAGCTGAAGCTTCCTATAAAGATAGAACCAGCTGTGAGATCTGATCTAGGTTATATTGACGAGTCGCTGTGTTCCTCACTAATGGTTTTTTTATTGTTTTGTTTCTGCCTTCAGCTCCATATGTCAAGGTCTATCTGCTGAATAATGGAGCGTACGTAGCCAAAAAGAAAACCAAGATTGCACGGAAAACACTTGACCCACTGTACCAGCAAGCACTGCTATTCGAGGAAAGCCCACAGGGTAAAGTCTTACAGGTGAGCTGAAGATATATTTCTCTTCATCGCAAAGTTAAATGCTTTTTTTCCAAATCTATTCTGATAAAAAAAAATGTTTTAACACGAGGAGCTAGACTGCTATGTAATTTGACAGAAAACGATTTCCCTTCAGGTGATTGTATGGGGGGACTACGGCCGCATGGACCATAAAAGCTTCATGGGGGTTGCACAAATCCTATTGGAGGAACTGGACTTATCAAGCACAGTCATTGGCTGGTACAAGCTGTTCCCACCGTCCTCCTTGGTGGATCCGACGCTTGCCTCCCTGACTCGGCGGGCTTCCCAGTCGTCACTTGACAGTTCCTCCGGACCTCCCGGGGTCCGATCCTAGTGGACCAACCGCTCTACGCCGCTCGACGAGAAACAGACTCATGAAACGTACTGTAGAGAGAAACAAACAAACGAAAAAAAGATGGCGGAAACGTAGAACAACAACAATCAGAAACAGTCACAACGAGAAAGCTTTGTTGAGATCTGACAATCACTTCTGTCGCGGTTAATTTTGTCTGTTGTAGGGAGCGCCACATTTCAGTGTTTCATATCCATTCAAAGAAAAATCTCATCGTTTTTCTCTGTGTATGCTGAAGAAGCAGGGCTGCCAACAGACAACAAGCAGTAGCTCTCGAGACGGGAGGCGATAAGGTGTCAGAGAATCATATGAAGCAGGGTGGTTTTTAACTGAATCAATAATAGCAAAGAAATGTACGTAAGCATCGGAATGTATGGACTTGAGACAGAGGTAATCACCCTCCACACCTGCAGGTGGCGCAGTCCTCTCTGCAGTGGCCTCCTCCAGAACCCCAACAGACTGCCGGCACTCCTGCCCAGCCCCACCCCACCCCCCCAGGCAGGGTGCCCCCGCGTGGGTATTCAGTCTGGAAGCACAGGGCCTTCTTCTGGTGCCTAGAACTTGGAGCCGCATCACTGGTCCCTCTCTCTGTCGAAAAAATCCTCTTTTCAATATGTTTACCATGGCTGCTCTGAAGCCACACTGTTTTAGCGTGTTTGCTTTGTTGTTCATTTCTTTCCCTTTGTTACTACTGGCACAAAATGTTTTTACAGTGCGTAAAATGCTCATGATAATGTTGTCAGTCTGGTGTGTGCATGGAGAGAAAAAAAACAAAACACAAGAGATAAAAAAAGGATATAAAAACTAATAAATGTCTGCAAGTGTTATGCAGGGTGGGAGGGCCGGGGGCTGGTGATGATGCCACAGCTTCGATTTTTACACTTGACAGTGAGATTAGCGTGCAGCGTTGTTTTCCTTGTTCCACCACTGGCAAATGTCCAGGCCAGTCGTCTTTGTATAGATGTATATTAGGCCTCCCAGGAGGTTGACCAATAAATGAAATTTATGTCACTTTGAAATATCACAAGGGTACAACATCACTGTAAAAAAGTTTTAAAAAAGTAAAGAGCAAGAGCAAGATAGGACCTAGGTCTAATTTTTCACATTTTTCGGGAGTGCATTCCCTCGCCCCAGCACGTTTCAGGTTTCTATCCAACCCTTAGTTTACATTCTTTTGAAATTTAAACACAAGCACAAGAGCTTGATTTTTTTACAACAAAAAGTTTAACTTTTTGAAGAAAACATGTAGTTAAAAAAAGGAGAAAAAAAGAAACAATCCCGTCACTGGTTCCGTTCATGTCTTTGTCTAGGTATTAGGAAACAGACAAACAAACAGAAAAGAAGAATCGCTCACAGTTTCCCTTGTGCAACTCTGTGAATGTGAAAGTAACCAATCAGACTGATATGTCGGGACACCAACACCAATGCTCATCCTCTGTTCGGCCCGCAGACTCCTCCCACCAGGAAGAAGGCGGGGCCAGCATGACTTTGGAACCTGTTCCAAGCTGCATGCACATTTTTTTGTAAAACGAAACAGATACAGAAAAAAAGATACTGAACTAGATACGTGTTAGTTCCACATACTGTAGGGCCGCTTGTATGTTGCATGCAGTTGTACAGTTTGCTCGTACTTGAATATTAAAGAGATCAAACCAAGAAACCGAAGCCATTCCCATTACGCAAAGACATTTGAACTCAACTGCAGTCTATTCCACGTCCCTCAGTCCGGTGCTGAATGTCTCTCAAACTAAATCCCAAGATTACGTTGATGTCTTTTCTCGACCCTCTGGAAGATGTACTGTACTGTACAGTAGTACTGAGCAGACCTCACAGCCCTCTTACTGTTAATCCACATCATAGTATACCTCCAAGGGGCTGAGATGATGTATGAATAAATATGTACAAATCAGATTCACTTATATGGAAATATGAATTATGTTTCAACATAATGATTTCAGATAACACATGAACTGTTAAGTTATATAAAGAATAAATGCAGATGCACAGAGAGTCATACACTGTAAATACTCAACAGCCATTCACTGGGTTTTCATTGGGTTGGGTGATATTTGCAAAGGGGCCAAGTCTTATAAAGAGGAGCGATTAATATGTCATTAGGGACCATGCAGTGGGACAACACCAGGCGATGGACTTGGGCCACAAACATGGCCGCGAAAACTACAGGTGTACTCTAAAACTTGGCATCTGAACACTTCTTTGTGCTTCAAACCCAATGTCTGAACCATGATCAGTCCCACTCTCAGAAGAGTTGACTTTTCTTTTCATCGTCCGGTGAAGCTGGTTTTCCTTTTTGTTTTTTTCTTTGTCAGTATTAACAGGAAAAAAAAATTGCTGATTGTTTACAACTTCTGTGTTCCACTGAAACAAAAAGAAAATTAGAAAAAAGTAAAGCATTCACTGCAACATTTCTTGTTTGTATAACAGATGTGGCTCAAATGATGTGTATGTTTTATATTTAAAAAAAAGTTCATTTTTATTATTTACAAATAAAAAGAATGTGTGGAAGAAAACTGCTTTATTTTCAATGTCTCCCCAAATCTCTAAAATAATAATTTTTTATGCTTTTGTTTTTTTATGACTCTCTCAGCCCATGGTTACCTTTGACACAATGCCAAAAGGTCAGAGTGAAAAACTTATTTCAGAATGGGATCTGTGCTCATGTTTGGGAAAGTTAATATTTTCTTTAGTCCCGTAAATATCCTCAGTCACATTAAATTGAGTAGATAAAGTAGTAGTAGTAGTTTGACTTAAGCACATTAGTAGTGTGTCACTGGATGACTGAACATTTTAAATGCAATGTGATGGAGGTCAGATACATGAATAAGATGAATACATCTACATGTTCCTCCTTTCGCATAGTGACAAATTACTGCTCGTCAGCAGACATCCAAATAAGTGGCCAGTTCTGAAAACTACAAATAAGACTGCCAAAATAATATCAAATAACCAGAAAATGACTCATTCCTTTGAGGTCTTACATTAAAAATAATTTGACATTTTGGGAAATACTTCTGCGCTGTCTTACCAAGAGTTAGATGAGGAGATTGATACTGCTCTCATGTCTGTAAGGTAAATATGAGACTACAGCCAGGAGACTGTTAGCTTTGCTTCACATAAAGACTGTGAGAAACAGCTCACTTGGTTTTGTCCAAAGATTAAAGAATCTGCTTACCAGCACCTGTAAAGCTCATTCATTAACACATTAAATTTTATTTGTTTAATCCATACAAAAAACAAAATATAGCTGTTTACCCCTGCTTTCAGTTTTTATGCTAAGCTACGCTAATCATCTGCTGGCTCAATCTAACTAGAGAGGAGAGCAAGAAAGGATGGTGGGGGTATCTTCAGGGGCAGGTCTAGAGAAATATTCATGCTGTGGCAAGAGGGTGGCATGGAGAAATATCACATACATCAATATGCTTGGAAAAGCCCGTTCCAAAATGTGACCATAACAGATCACTAAATTAATATTCAGTTTCTAACAGGATATTTTAAAAATGATTCTAAATGAATGTGTTAAATTCAACAGCATTTGACAACAAACTAGGTGGCATCTTAGCAAGGCATTTTCAATACCACCTCTCTAGATCTGCCTCTGTTTCTGAACCATGAGATTGGGGAGAATATGTGGTGTTTTTAACAGCTCCCAAACAATCTCATGTTTTCACACACATTGTTTGGTAAAAATAATGGACAAGAACTAACTTTGCATTGTAGTAACTGCTCTGTACGTTTTGAAAATGTAGTTTATGTATACTACAATACATCTCAGAAGGAAATATTGTGCAATTTATATAACAGTTGTGGTTACCAATTATATTGCAATTATATATGTAACATTAAAATACAGCTTACATATTAAAATATGAGAAAATAGATACTCTGAAAGGAACTAGTCTTCATTGTGGAGATTTAGAGCTGCACTAATCAGTGTTTTTGGCTGAATGTTGATGTGTTGAATGTAAAAGGTATTGCTCATAGTGACAAATCCCCAGAGAATCACACAGCTCTGCAGCTCCCCTCGGCTTGGTTTTACCCCCTGTAACTTTGCTGTTTTGCTCTCTACAACCTTGTGTCCAGCAGCACAAACAACTGTTTTCACAAAAAAGATCTGATAAACCCACTAAGTGCTACCAACCCAGCACCAAACAGCAGACAGACAAAGTTAGCTGGTGAGCACACAGTAGTGCAGCATTTAGCAACTAAACAGCCAGATATTTCCCTCTGGAGTTGGTTGAGGGAGAACAGAACTTGGAGAAGAGAGAAAATTGGATCAAGTGGACAGAGACATGACTTCAAAAGAATGTTAATGTTGCTCCAGGTCTGCAGGCAACATGCTAACGTCATTGAAACAACCCAAAGATATGTCAAAGTTGTGATTTAAACTTGTTACACTTCTCCCAAATGGCCAAGAATCACTAAATGCAGCTCTAAGAACATTTTGCTACCAATAATTCTGTAAAAACATTTTGGCTATTTATGCAACTGTATTTATATATGTATTTTTGCATTTGACTAACCGTTTAAATAAATAACTTCTAGAAGATCAGGTAGGGGTAAGCCATTAAAGTGATTTTTTCCGAGTCCATATAAGCCTGATATGCATCAGCATGTACAGCAAGCTACACTTACCTGCCTTCAGATATCAGTTTATAGAAATGTAGTGAATGTATCACATAAAGTCATAGTGACTTGATCATTTGTCAATGATAAACAGCAATTTAATTAAATCATCATGAGTCATGCATTAGTTAAGTTAAGTATCAACTAAAGGTCCAGTGTGTAACATTCAGAAGGCTCTGTTGGCAGAAATTGAATATAATATTCATAGTTATGTTTTTATTAGTGTATAATCACCTGAATTATTGTGTTCTTGATACCTTAGAATGAGCTATTTTTATTTACAGACGCCACTGGTTGCTTTGAGTTCACCATATTTCTACAGTAGCCCAGAAGGGACAAACCAAACACTGGCTGTTGATAGGGCCTTTCATGTTTTTTGTGAGTTTTTGTTTCGCAGCCACTCTACTTTCCTCTACACACTTCACAGCCCGTTCTCATTCCTAGGTCGTCAAATACAGATGCGAGTGGTGTCCAGTTAGATGCAATTTGAAACGTCACTGATAGATGCCACTAAATCCTGGTCTTTTAAAGAATGATTTGTACCCTTGTTATAAAGTGTTACTAAGATGTCTTTACTTTTGAAAGAGTAGTTGTTCCTTTATTGTTTATATTCCTAACATGTCTGTAAAGTTTACTTGATTTATTAATTTTAAGATCTTCTGTCACCAATGTTTTTTATTAGCTGGCCATTAGAAGAAGTCACTTGCTGTTTGATTTTACCCTTGTGGTTGGCAGTATTAGTGTTATTTATCTGTTATATTGATTGCTTATCTCTTCCTTCTCATTTAAAGTGATGAATCCTGTTTGTTGTTGCATTGGATAATTGTCAGTCTGGGCTCCTACACTCTGCCAGTGCTTTGCTAAATCCTCTAATCATTTTTATCAATTACAGGCAAGGCTCCTCCATTCACAGTGCTGCCTTTACTATCATTTTTATTCTTTCACAAGCTGGAGGTTGCTCTGTCTCCATGTAGCTTCAGCACAGTAAGGAGAGAAGAATCTCATATAGTAGAGGTAAGCAAGTTTTATTATCTAGTATTTGTTGATAAAAGTGCATGACAGCCGTGTACTGCTACAATATAACACCATAACTCTCTGCCCTGGGTGCTGCTACAGCGCGCCTCACTGAAGAGGAAGCTGAGCCAATATGGCCTCATGTGTAACCTCTCATGTGATACAGTGCAGCGAAGGGCTTGGGAGATTTATGTTCCACATCCTCTTGTTAAATAAGCAGAGGGCCCCCCGAAACAACATCTGCAGGCAATCTTGACTAACCCTCCCACCAGCCTCGCCGTGCCAGCCGGGCCCCCGGTTCCCCTCGTCACAGCATCAGGGGTCACGACCTCCGAGTATAAAGCATGGATATGGACCATGGTGGAAAGGAGAACCGCAGATCGTTCGAGTCGGAGGTCAAGTTAAAATTTCCATGCTGCTCCCAGGAAATGGATTAATCTATCTAATCAGGTCAAAGGTCATACATCGGTGGAAACAGTGGAATACAAACATTTTGAAGTTCATTTTTAATATTAACCATTAGCATGACCTTCCCAAAGAAATGAAGTAAAACAGTAAACAGAAACCGAGACTTTGGGAAAGGGGACGTATAAGCTGAATTCTGTCTCCTGACATGAAATAGACTGTTTACTTTGAGAGGTGTTCATTGTGAGGCTGCATTTCCTCATTCTAATGTCTTGACTTGTTGAAGACACATGACAGAGTGTGTGAACTTGTTGCAGGAAGCCACATTATCACATCACATCACAAGATTAGACAATACTGCTTGTAAACTAACCACCTTTCCTCTTTTTTTTTTTCCATGAACATAGAACAGATGAGGTCTGGGGTATTGAAATTGTTTGACACAAAATAGTAGGGTAAGCACAGGTGATACAAATGATACTGTTCCACTTAGTGTAGCAGAGCCTTAAAAAGACCTAAATGTAACAGAACCCTAATTAGTATCATTGGTAACACGTGTTTACCTTACTATTTCATGTCAAAATGGCTGCTGTAAAAAAGGTCTATCAGTGAAATTAAGAGAGGAAAAAAAGAGAGGAGTAAAAGTCATACTCTCCATAGAGCTAATAGAAATTATTGTGTTGGGGGTAATGGTGGGGGGGTTCCTCTGGAACCAGCATTTTGTAATTGTAATTCTTCACACTTTTGAGACCTTTTAGAATATTTCCAAGGTACAAAAAATGAAAAAGAGAAATCAGATTTCAGCTCCAGAATCTGTGAAAATAAATGTCCCAACCCTAACCAAAAAGGCCAAGAAAGACAGAAAAATATGAGCATGGTCGAAACCACTTTCTAATCTCGATTTCTGGTTGGGGGTAATAAAGAAACGGATCAGATTTTTCCAGCAGAAATCTCTCCAAAACAGGGAGTTAATGGAAGTAGACTTGGTTTCCCATATTGCCATGTTTCCTCTGGTATTACTACGACAGCTTGTTTTTCCAAGCGCTGTTTTACCTAATTGATTGAATTTTTATTCATTGACAGGAAGCTTTTATATCATTTGATACCTTGTGTTTTTTAAATTAAAAGCATCCTTAAGTATCTGAGTTGTTCTTACGGGCTCCACAGAATCAGGGATCCATCTTTCTCGGCTCTGATTGGATGTTTTCATTCAGGCCAGGTTGATTCTTACAAATGCCATTAGGAGCACTAGGAGGAGCCAGAGGAACCTGATTTTTCACAGATCATCTGTCTCATGTACTACTGTCAGGATATAGTGAATGTTTTTTTTTACAAATGTACCTACATCAGCTTTAACATCAAATTTTCTTCTTTTGTTTACCATTAAAGTACCTATAAGGAAGTTAAAATAATTCTTTATTGAACTCAGTTTATTAGGCACACACATTAACACAATTGTTCTGCCATAAAGTCTCTCAGCCCCTTCTATGATGTCTGTATTGTTCAGCTTTTGTTGACACTGTCATTGAGGTGTTGATTCAAGTATGTGTTTTAGCACTGAGCTCAGAGTTAAAGATGATGGTCTACTGGACGGAATTATATTCTAGGTGTTTCTAATATTCTGCCTCCCTCATTTATGTAAATGGAAAGGACAAAACAATAGAAACACTTAATTTATTCATAGGAAGAAACCTATAATGGAACTTGAATTTCTGATAGTGTCACAAAAAACTGAACATTATGAGCTTTGATGGATGTTATGGCAGGGCTGTTGTTCTGGACAGCATGAGACTGTGCAGGTGTATTGAATAAAGTGTGTATATGATGTTAATAGTGAGTAAAATATTCAATCCCCAGACCTCATTTCACAATACAATCCCAGCTAATACTCCAAAAGTCCTTTTTGCAGAGCTTTCAACACACGGTCTTCATCAGCAGATTGAGTTTGGGCAGTTGGAACTGTTGACATGCAAGCTCTGCAGTATTTCTGATTTCATCCATGGCACTTTGAGACTTCTCATATCATGCCATAGTCAACCTGGTGACAACTGAGCAAACTAAATTCATTGAAGTGGTTATAAGTACAGGAAGATGCAAGTAAGTGAACCTTGAGTAGATTGTTTTATCAGTCTATTACTTCCAAGGTCTTTACTCTTAACTGATTTTCAACTCCTATACTTTTTAATCCCTTTTTCCCAAATTCAGCCTGACATATCTGGAATCTATGGAAACGCTGGGATCTCCACTAAAATTTGAAATCAAGTTCTCTGGGTTTGGATGAGGTTCGAGTTTGGAATGACTGACCCACCAAGCTTCATCAAACTGTGTAAACTATAGTGCCCAAAATATATTGCTGTGACTTGTGGGTAGACTGCAAGAAGAACTGAGAGAGGATTTGCATTCAGAACCTGTGAGATTGTGCTCAGGAAGGTTGTCTGGTGCTGCAGCCACCAGTAGATGGCGTAGTTTTGTTTGGGGACAGCAGGATTCCCTCAGTCAGAGGCTATCAAACCTTAGCAGCTAAAACCAAGTCTTATACTCTCACCTTCTATAGATTACATGAGATACACACTTCCGTGCTCTGTGACCCTTATTCGCGCACACACACATACACACAGTATTTGTGACAGGATGCTGACTCTTGCTGATAAGGCTGTCAGCCACACATACATACTGCTTTCCCCTCCTCACTCACTAGAACTGTTAGAAGTAAGGCTGATGATGAGGAAGCTTTAGGAGAATGTTCTGTAAAGTAAAAATATGCCTAATGTAGGCCTGTGAAAAGGAAGTGCAACTGACATCACATTTTTCTAACCACTTTCAATTTAGGTTTTGAGAAAAGGGGAAGCAGGATTTTCACTACATCAAGCTCCTTAATCAACACAGTTAACTCTAAACACACCACCGCTGTAGGTCAAATGTTTTATGCCTCATAAACAACTCTGAGTTTGTAATGTTAAAGCAGCACAGCAGCACCATGAGACACCATAAGGCATGATGGGTTCAAAATAAACTCACATAAGGGAAATGTGTCTAATGCCACGTGGTTGCAGTGACAGCAGGACAGCAGATGACAGAGCCGACACTGCAGGGCTTTTCTCTAGCATATGTGATCAAATATAACCTTAGGAACTGTTCATAAAACCATATTTACACAACACATATTACCAAAAAAAAGCTTCTCCGGATTAAAAGCCATTTTGGTTACACCATAATATTTTCTGCAGATGTTCAGCAGGCCGTCCTCAGCGGTTACTTTTCCAGCCGACCAAGTGGAAAATTCATCAGAATCCATGTTACCTGATAGGGTTTTTAAAAAAATGTGGTGTAATTTGGAACTTTTTCGGGAAATTAAATTACACGAGGAGCGACGGTTGTTCATTTACATTTCTGCTGCCACCTAAAAAAAAAAACACTCCAGGAGGTTCATTCTTCATTCTTAAGTGATGTGGAGGTAAGATTAAAAAAACAACAACAACATATCAAACTGTTTAGTATGACACGAGGATCGAGATAAAGTCACACGCGGGCACGACAAGCACAGATGCGCATCTGCCGCGAACGCGCAGCTGAAAGCAACAGGCGGCAAAGCGCGCTGGGAAGAGAGCCTGTGCTGAAAATTAACGCTAAAAATATCTCCCCCTCCACACACACAGACACACACACAGACACACACACACACACACTGTGGGTAGAAGTTGTTTCGTCAGATTGGACATTGGACATGGTATCCATTGGCGCGGTGGATACCTTTACGCGCGGCGGCAGCTGTGTAAATGGCTTGAGAAGAGCTTGATGCGAGCGGAAAGAGGGCGGTCAAAGTGTGACGGTAAACAGTGTGACTTGCTCTGGCCGCGGTTTCACTCTCAACCCTGCGCACACTGCGTCTCGCACTTGTAATTGATTGTCAGTCCAGGGCACGGGACACGCATGCTTGAAAAGAACTCCGCGCACTTGATGCCCGCTTTGGTGATGCCATGCCCCGGAACCACAGCGGAGACGAAGGCGGCGGCACCGGGCTCTGGATGAGGACGTCGCCGGGCCACCGTAACGAAGGCTACGGCTTGAAAGATGTGGAGTCCGGACGAAGGATGATGAACAACGCGGGAGACGGTTTGCTGTCAGCGTCCGCCGCGGCAGGTGCTGCCGGGTCCGAGAGCCTGAGGGTGAAGCAGGGAGCCCGGCTCAGCCTGCTCGGGAAGCCGCTCATATACAGCGCGCAGAGCGGCCGGAGAAACGTGCGCTACCGGCGGCTCCAAAACTACCTGTACAACGTGCTGGAGAGACCGAGGACCTGGGCGTTCATCTACCATGCGTTTGTGTGAGTTTATGTCCCTAATTTGCATGTAGGATAGTGAAGATGTGAAGTTGCACACCTGTTGATGCTGTCTGCTCACTGCAGGGTCAGACATTTCTGCTCAGAATGACAGGAACACACACCGGTACAGCCGTGGTTCATCCGCCAGCTGCATGAATCTCACATATTCTCATACATCACATGTTACCTTTCTATATGATGGCTGGCATATGACACGCGATGAAACCGTGGGTGTCGTGAATGCATCTTTAAAAATATACCACAGCACATCTTCACCAGTGGCAGTTTCACAGCCTGCAAAGAAAATCCCCTCTGCAGTTACCCACTGAAATCCATCTACAGGTTTATAATACAAAGAGAGGCTTACTGCAACCCTCTGCAAACATTGTTGATGGCTGTAAAGGGGCCTATGTTTTGCTCGGTGCAGCTTAAATGTAACACAAACACACTAGTACACTGAGTACAGTTGCAGTTTTGTCATAATATGCAGTAGTAAACATAAAGGTTGATTTTTGATTGACTTGTGCATTTATGAAGCCCTCAGAGGTGAAGTCTGTCTGCTCTCTGTCATTCTTGGCTCCTTTGCCTTTTATTTCCCGCGTGCAACTGTTGTTGTGGCATCATGACTGCATCTGAGAAGAAGGAAGTTGAGACACATGCTCTATGGCACCATCTTTTTTGTGTGTGTGCACTGGGGGGAGTGGTTAGAAAGAGAGGAGGGGAGCTTAATTCAAGCCGCCCATGAAACTAATCACTTTTATTTTTAAAGCATCCTTGAAGTAGCCTGTATATCAAATTTTGCACCAGACAACAGAATCCCTGTCGGGGGATATTATGTGTGTGTGATGTGTGAACTGTGAGCTGTGATGTTCAGTGAAGACACTTTTGAAATTGGATTTTTTCTTTTAGAAGCTGCAGGAATTAACTGTTGCGTGTTTCAAAAGTTCTGCTTTTTACAGGCAATATATAGGCCCAGTTTTACAAGACAGTGACAGTAATTGTGAAATAGGAAGTATAAGAAGGATGCTGATGTAAGGACTACTCACAGTGCTACTTGGTGAACTACTATATCCAGCTCTAAAAGCTGAACGTACTCACAGGCTGTAGCTTCTTTCTTTGTTTAATCTTTTGAGTTAGGGCTGGGCAATATGTCAAAAAATATGATCACAATAATTGTTGATTGATTGATATTTTTTATGACATATAATTTGATAATACTGCTGCAGAGTATCCTGATAATGACACTTGAAGAAACCAGTGGGTTCATTGGTAAAACTTCAGAATACAGTCTATTGAGATAAATAATAGAATATCATAATGTAAACATTTAACCCTTTTTCTGCCTTAACAGAAAAATACAAGTTAGGGTAGCTTTCCTTATAACTTATTAAAATAAAGGTGTGGTTGCTCTGATGGTACCTTTTCAGGTGATGGAAAATATTTGCTGTGTTTCCCGTCTTGTTTGGTACCATTTTTTGCAGACTCTTAATTTGGAGTCTGGTTCCCTGTTACCTTACAGGTCAGCACTGTTAGCATTGGTCAAAGTTTACCAAAGTTGAATTCCACACAGAGAGATTTAGGCTACTTAGCACCCGCTGGTGAATCCACTGACTATGATGATACTGATTGATTTGGACACAAAATTTCAGCATTTTAAATGTTAGACAGTGTGGAACATGTGACCGGGCCTTCTCTTTCCAAACAGGCCAGTTTGGACATAAACTGCAACATCCTAAATTCACTTATTTTCTAAGAGGAACTGGTACTTCCGAACAATCGGGACCAAGCATTTGCTCAGGAGGAATTTGTTTTAAATCCAAGATATCCATTTGATAAACACCCGTTTATCTAAACTGCTGTGCATCATGGGAAACATTTTCTTTTTCAGAGCTGTGTAGCCTACATTTGGAAACATAATTATTGTAAGTGAGCATATCCTTTAAATTAACTTTTCACACAGTGCCCTTTTTAAGAGACTTTATATTCTCTCTGATCTATCTACTGTAGTGTATTAGTTCTTTACAGAGGAGGATTACATTTATTGTGGTGTGTGTTGCAGACAGTCCCTGTTCATTATGAGGCCTTTCCAGACTTTGTGGGGTTAAAGAGTAATGATGCAATGATGTCACCATGTGACTCCATGGGGGTCATCCAGCTCAGTGATAACTTTCTTTATCCTCTTTTATTAGGGCCATAACTTAAGAGAGTCCCCGTTGGATTTCTGGATTTTTGGTCTGCACTTTTGCCAAAAGGTTGACTCAAAAATAAAAATTTACATATCTTATGAAAGTGTTGACTCACGCAAACCCACAAGGATCCTGGGACATGCACTCTTTTCTCTTCACATGAGTGCTCATGAACGGAACGCACGGTTGGGTGGCTGGGAAGTTGGTGAATGGTTTTCTTTCATCCCTGTGGCAGCGAGCTTGAACGGGAGAAATGGAGGGACTGAACTCCCAGTCAGCTCTTTGTTCTCTCTACTGTGATGAATGCTGGTGATGGTTAGTGGCCTTGAAAGTAGCTGATTTGACAATTTTTTGCCGTTGAGAGTCTCACTGTCACAGTTTTTATCTACAAAATAAGATGATGTCTTTGTCCAGCTGATGTTAAAACTAGTTGTGGTTCACATTTATTGCTATGAAAAACCTCAAGAGCATATTTATCAATGCGTATTTAAACCAGATTTCTGCAACTGTCGTTTAGAAGCAAATTTGCACAAAGGTAACAAACTGAAATGTACTGAAATTCAGAGAAGTGACTATAGCCAACACCCCCCCAGGGTGAGATTTTACTTTATACCCCTCCTTCACATTTAGACACCATTATTTGGGGAAAGATGTGTGTAATATTATATTACTAATTTGAAAAAAGAAGCCTTGCAAAAAGGGTGTTGCCTTGAGCTTGTTGCCTTGGTTACTTTTGCCACAGGGCGTTCCTGACACCCACATTAGATGAAAAGTTGACTGCAGTCCCTAAATACCCTAATCATACCTGACACTGCAATGTCCCTGAGGTAAATGGCAAATTTGCATCATCTCTGTTAAGAAGAAATGGATGCTCTTGTCTCCTGCTGTGCTGCTGTGTGATGTGAACTGGAATGATGGCTGCATTTTTACATAAAAGGCAGTTGTTTCTTTAAATAATCTATATGGTCAACTTGTTATGCAAGAAGCTTGCTTGTTGTAATCATGAGTGGTATGCTGACAATTAGTAGGATGAACTCAGTTCATTAGTTATATATAAGGTTTTTAGCATCAAGTGTTTTTGTACATTTTCATTCCTTGCATGCGTTAGAGCTAACGTGTTTGCTTTCCATGGGCCACCTGCAAAACACCTTTTTATCGCCTGTGTGCCTAAGAACAATGAAGTGGATGTCCCTGCAGTGAGCTGCACATTGAGGACGAAACCTGTAGTTTTCTTTGCTGTATAGTTCAGTCTATACAACACAAGCAAGAATCAGAATACAGACATAGAAAAGATCCTTAAACCTGCAATAATTAATTTTTGTTGGCCACTTGGGGGCAGAGTAAACAAGTTATGACCACAGCATTGGCATTCGATCGCCTTTTAAGTTGATTTGCCGATACTGGATTCCTATTTCTGGCCATCTGATGACTGTAAGTCTTGCATCCAATCTGTTTTATCTCTGTTTTTGGTCTCTACTGCGGTTGGCACTGTTAGTGTCACCGTTTTTGTTCACACTGACTGCTCACATTGAGTGTTTTCAGTGCGACAGCTCTGATAAACCCACTGCTCGCCACCTGCTCAGCACCAGACAGCAGACAGGCAGGTTAAAGAACCAAATATTTCCCTTAGAATGTGGTAGAGACCAAAAGCAGAGCTACAAGGAGGTTGACCATTGGACCTAAATTTGTCCAAAAACACAAATCCATAAGATGATAATATGTCAGTGTTGTGTTTACATCTTATCAAAGTGGCCAATAAATCGATGAATGCAGCTTTAAGCAACCACTGTAAACTAAGCCCAGGCCAGATTTGTAGAGCAAATATGTATAGAGTATATGTATATGAATTTTGTTCATAGGTCTAAGTTTTCATAAATGTTTTTTATTCCCCAAATAGCTTTTGGGGAAATACATTTTTATTCCTACCTCTATGCATTATGGAAAGTAAATTCCAATATAACCCACATGTCTGGCCAATAGGGCTGAATCTGGCGATACGATATGTATCACTATACAGGGGTTACGATTATGAATATTGTGATAGTGTAAGCAAGGTGATGTATTGTTATTTATTTTTTCTTTTAACCTAATTGTCATAGAATGGCTGTAGTCCCTGAAATATCCAACATCAGAGCCCTCACTTTACTTTTACAACACTGCTATCTAGCTGTTGGGAATTTAAACATAAAAATCGTTACAATATAACAAGACAAAATATTTTTGTATATTTTGTATCACAATATTTACACATTTTACACGCCTTTAAAATTCGGCACCGGTAAATAATTTGACAGCATGACTTAATATGTATTATATGCTTTGAACCATTGTTCAGGCACAGTACTATAAAAACAGGTTTATCCCAGGACACATCACTTTATTTGCTTTATAATAATCTACCTCCTCTCTTATTTATAAACAGTATTATCCCTTTTTTTCAATTGTATTCCATAAATAATTTTTTAGAGTCTTTATATGGAGAAAATGTGTCATTTCTTTAACTTGTGTTTATCTGTGTGTTTGTGTGTGTGTTTACATTCTTCCCCATGAGGATGAGTGTCTTTGATACTAATTTGGCCAAGCTGCTCTGCTTGAGCAGTTGAAGCTCTGTTTGGATAACTCACAGAAGTTCAATTTCACCATCCACTGCTTTCAGGTGGCAATAAAAAAAAAGAAATCCCCTTTTCTTATCTGACTTGTCTGAGGCGACACATTAGAAACAGGTCAGAGGAGCAAATACGCGTACGAGCCTGCCCTTGCAGCACTAGGTTATCCTCTGTTTGACATGCCCACATGGCATATCCTCATAGGGTTTGA